TAAAGAAGCTGCAACAGAAATTGTGCGATAATGCTCATCTTGTCCTCAAACACAAATTGTTCCTCATTATGGGGTTCATCCTAGAGGGCTGAAGCCTAACCAACTGTGGCAAATGGACATTACTCATGTTGCAGATTTTGGTAGGCAAAGATATGTACACGTTACGATAGATACATTTTCTGGCTTTATTATGGCTACTGCACAAACAGGGGAAGCCACAAAAAATGTTATAACTCATTGCTTGACTTGCTTTTCCATAGCTGGTATCCCTAACGTTATAAAAACAGATAATGGCTCTGCCTATACCAGTCAGGGATTCCAACATTTCTGTTTGCAATTGGGCATTCAGCATAAAACTGGGATACTGTATAACCCACAAGGACAAGGTATAGTGGAAAGAGCTCATGGTGCCTTAAAAACACAATTGCAAAAAATAAGAAAAGGGGAGTTATATCCCCAGACACCAAGTAATCTTTTACATCATGCTCTTTTCATTGTAAATTTTTTGAATTTGGATAAAAATGACTGCTCTGTGGCAGACAGAATGTGGCATCCTCAGTCACAGGATACCTATGCCCAAGTCAGGTGGAAGGATCCTTTAACTGGACAATGGAATGGCCCCGACCCTGTATTGATATGGGGAAGAGGGCATGTTTGTGTTTTCCCACAGGACGCTGATGGAGCCAGGTGGCTGTCAGAAAGGCTGGTGAGGTTTGCTGGACGAGCACCAAAGAAAAAAGAAGTAGAAAAGAATGAGAAGACAGACGTGGCTGATGATGATGTTCCTACAAGTGATTGTGGCTAAATTATACTGGACTTATGTTCCTGATCCACAACATTGCACCCCGTGATATGGGAGAAAAAAGAGATAGTAGTGACTGTGAATGACTCTTGGTTAATTGCTCAGCCTGCTTCAAAACACCTGATGATTATTTTGGGTTGGGAAGCGGGTTGCCTATTTTGTTAAAAATAAGTGTGCTTGTGGGACAAAGTGGATATTGTACCAATGTCAATGTGTTAAATAGAAAAAACAAAAAATTTTGTCCGCATTTCCACCCTGTAAGCAGTGGCAGATATTCTAAAAAGGCTGAGAGCCACCTTACATACTTTTCCTCCTGTCTTTGTTTTCATCTGGTGGCAGTAAAGTTATTTATGCCTGTGGCAAGTCAAGGCAGCTGTGCATGATATGAGATTGCACTTCCTCCCCTAACAGAGGCCGGTAGTCAAAGACGGGTAAGATCATCTGGGACAAAGTCAACCTAAGACAGGGCATAGCTGATGGAAGCTACGTGCCAATGACGGGGAAGGCTTTACTCTAGCAGAAGACAACCTAAAACAGTCCTTCTTCTGTCCCAGATATAGCATAATCTGGGGTTATAGAAATAAAAAGGAAGGGGGATATGTCGGGAGCCGCTAATCATTCAGCTGTGTCAAGGCTTGTTTACTGAGTGTTATGCACACCAGTATCTAATCTGCCTTATTAGGAGGAATATGTTTATATGGAGAGCCTCACAACACCTGCAATAGTGGAAGCCTTTGATCTGACTGCTCCCTGACCCTCAGATACAGGTACTGTCCATTTTGGCCGGCTGGCACCGCCATATGAGTGTATTGCCTGTATGTGTGTAAGTGCACCTGTGTCGTGTAATGCCCAGGGAGGTCAGAAGAGGGTGTCAGATAGCCTGGAACTGGAGTTACGGACAGTTGTTAGCTGCCATGTGGGTGCTGGAAATCGAACCTGGGTCCTCTGCAAGAACAGCCAATTTGTTTTTTAAAATATATTTTTATTTTTTATGTTACTATTTTTATGTGTATGAGTGTATTGCCCACATATATGTAAGTACACCTGTGTCACGTAATGTCCGTGCAGGTCAGAAGGTGGCATTGGATTGCTCTAGAACTGGAGTTACAGATGGTTGTTAGCCACCACATGGGTGCTGGGAATCAAACCCAGGTCCTCTGTAAGAACAGTCAGTGCTCGTAATTACTGAGTTATCACTCCAGCCCCAGTCAGCGTTCTTAATTGCTAAGCCATCTCTCTAGTCCAATTTATTCTTAAAAGCACAGTAGAATGTTTGCTTCTGAGATTCTTTGCTTTTTTCAAGCTGCCACCATACACTGCTTCCTAGACTCATGAACAGTTTAATTCAGAAGGAATTCTTATCAAATTCTAATATAAGGAAGAACCTCAATTTTACTCATTTGTTCCTCATGTGTTAATACTGTATTAAGTATATGCTACATGAAAAAAAGTCACTATTAAAAAGGTTTTTTCAAGTCAATTTAGCGCACAAGACATTTTATAATATGAATAACAATTTTTGACTGAAGTAAAGTGATGACAAAAAGTACTTGTTAGAATTACTGAAATAATTAAAAAATTACCTCTTTTTGGCACAATGTTCTTCAATATCATTATCCCATCTCTGGGACATCACCAAACTAAGCTCCAGTTCCTCCTTTTCAATCTGTGGTGCATTTTCTTCATCATCACTATTCTGGGGATTTTTAGTATCTCCAAAGGAGTGACATGGTAATGGCATCCTATTCTTTTCCCCTTGATATCCATCACTTTCCAAACCAGCAAGAAGATGTATCAAAGCTTCATCAGGACTACTGTTCACTAAAAGACAAATGAGGGAATCACCAACAAATTGCTTAACATTTCCAAACAATCCAACATTTGAGATCAATTATAAAATAACATGATCAGTGCTGACACTAGAAGAATATAATTGGTTCAAAGGCTCAGATGTTGGTGACATAGCCCTCCCATCAAAGTGAAATCCATAGAATAACTACATTAGAAGATTTAGTGACCTTATTAAAATGAAGATTCTCAGATTCCATCTCACATCTATTAAATCTGAATTTCTGTGGTAGGAACCATGGATTGATATTTATTAAAAAAGGTATCCAAGCTCTTACTTAGGCATGACGAGCATTAAAGAAAATATGGTTTTAAGTAAAACATAATGCTAGTTAATTACCTTATGAATTATGTATTTAAATGTGGCCAGGTGTGGTGGCGCATGCTTTTAATCCCAGCACTTGGGAGGCAGAGGCAGCTGGATCTCCGTGAGACTGAGGACAACCTGGTCTACATTTCTACCTAACGAGGCTGGAATTACAAGTGGACTGCCATGCTCACCTGGCATATATGTGGGTTCTGGGTTTCCGAACTCCATTCCTCTTGTTTAATAAATGTTTCGATTGGGCCATCTCCTTAGTCCTATATTCATTTTTTACTTGCTTGGTTTTTTATTTTTGATTGAGACAGGATCTCCCTTTTAGCCTCTGTTGGCCGAGAACATGCTATGTAGACCAGGATGACCTCAATCTCATAGAGATTCCCGACTCTGCCTCCTGACTCCTTGGTAAAGGCATGTGTCACCATGCCCAGCTTATAGTTTTTTAATATTTTATTTATTATTTTTGTGTGTATAAGTATATTGGTTGCATGTATGTGAGTGCAAGCATGTCATACAATGCCACGGAGGTCAGAAGAGGGCTTCAGATTCTCCTGGAACTGGAGTTAAGAACGGTTTGTAGCCTCCATGTGGGTGTTGGGAATTGAACCCGGGTCCTCTGCAAGAGCAGTCAGTGCTCTTAGCCTCTGAGCCTTCTCTCCAGCCCCAAGTCTGGCTTATTTTTTAAAATATGATGATCTCTAGTTCCATATGTTAGCTCTCTATGGTTTAATTAAAACACTGTAAATAAAAGCCACATTTTCATTATCTGTTGGTGGACATGTAGACTGCCTTGTTGGTTATTCTAAGCATGTGTCAATAACATGAATGTGCAAGTAGCTGTTGTATGACAACTTAGATATACCCTGGAGTGATATGACTGGATCCTTGGTAGTTTTTAGTGTTTTTTAAAAAATATTTTTATTTTACGTGTATGAATGTATTGCCTGCATATATGTAAGTGTACCTGTGTTGTGCAATGCCCGCAGAGGTCAGAAGAAGGTTTCAGATCCCCTGGAACTGGTGTTACAGATGGTTGTTAGCCACCATGTGGGTGCTGGGAAACAAACCTGGCTCCTCTGTAAAAGCAGTCAGTGCTCTTAATTGCTGAGCTATCTCTCCAGTCCTAGTTTTTAGTGTTTTAAGGAAGCTCCACATATTTTCCATAGTGGCTGTGCTAAAAAAACTAAGTTTCTTTATCCCCTGCATTAACGACAGCTTTGTTGTTTTTAGTTTTTAGTTTTTAGTTTTTTTTCTGTTCTTGAACTACATTTCTTGCCCTTCGGTTCTGTTCCCCCCCCACCCCCAACCCCTCCTGTTTTTTTTGCAAAGGGCCTCTGTATCCCTGGCAGGCCTTGAACTTGCAATCATGGGGCATCAAATTCCTGAGTAGGTGGGATGACAGGTCCAATTGTATTTTGTTTTCTTGATGATAGCCATTCTTCCTGGGATGAGATGAAATTTCAATGCAGTTTGATTTGCATTTTCTTGGCACTAGGATGTTAAACGTATATATATGTGTGTGTGTGTGTGTAAATATAAATATATGCCATTTGCATTTCTTCTATTGAGAACTGTCCAATATACTTGTCTACTTATTGATTCCATTTTTTAGTGTTTAATTATGAGTTCTTTATATGTTGTAGGTATCAATCATGTCATAATATATAACTAGTAATGAAAACATATTTCCACAAAAACTTGTGCATGAATAATCCTATCAGCTTATAGGTATAGTACCACCCAAATCTGAAACAACTGAAATATCTACCTACTGATAATTGAAGTGTATTATTATATGGCTGACAGAATATTATTGAGCAAGAAAAAGCAAAGCACTGACATAAGATAGAGCATGGACGAATTTTGAAAACATGTTAATTAAAAGCAGGAAGATACAAAAGATAATGTATAAATGATTTCATTTTTTATATGATCTCCTAGCACAAGAGAAATTAATGTTTCTCAGGGGAGGAATGGGGAGAAACTGTCTTTAATGAGTACAGAGTTTTTCTGGGGATAATGAAAATGTTCTGAAATTAGATAATGGCAAAGACTGCACAATTTAAAAAATTCACTGCAATAAAACTTTTTTTTTAAAGCATTAACAAAACCACACACACACAACACAAACACACACACACACACACACACACACACACACACACACACACACACACACACAGAGTAATTAACTTGGGCATGATGGCAGACAACCCCAGACTTGGGAGGCAGAGACAGTGGATCTCTATGAGATCAAGGCCAGCCTGATTTACACAGTAAATTCCAGGCCAGCTGTGGCTATAGGGAGAACCTGTTTCAAACAACAACAAAATAATAAATAAAATAAAATATTTTAATCTACTATACAACCTCTCTCTCTGTAAAATGAGGTAATATATTCCCCCATTCACTAAAATATCAATTTTAAAAATATTTTATTATTTTTATTTTATGTGCATGAGTGTAGGTAAGTGCACTCATGTCGTGCAATGCCTGCAGAGGACAGAAGAGGCTGTCGGATACCCTGGAACTTGAGTTACGGACAGTTGTTTGCTCCCATGTGGGTAGTTGGGATTCGAACCTGGGTCTTCTCCAAGAACAGTCAGTGTTATTAACTGCTGAGCCATCTCTCCAGCCCTAAAATATCAAGTTTTATGTTTCCTTTATTGATGTTTAAGAAATTAGTTCAGGGGCTGAAGAGACAGTTCAGCGGCTGAGAGCTTGTAATTCTCTTGCAGAGGACCCCAGTTCTGGTCCCAACACCTATTTCAGGCAGCTCATAACCACCTATAACTCCAGCTATAGGGGATCCAATGCTCTCTTCTGGACTCCATGGACACCTACATACCACCACACAGACAAACATTAAAACTAAAATCTTAAACTGGGTGTGGTGGCGCACGCCTTTAATCCCAGAACTTTTTAATTTGAGCATGGTGGCACACAACCCCAGACTTGGGAGGTAGAGGCAGGCAGATCTTAAACTCTGTGAGTTTAAGGCCAGTCTGGTCTGCAAAGCTAGTTCTAGGCCAGCTGGGGCTACAGGGAGACCCTATCTCAAAAACACCAAAAAGAAAACAAAAAACCCTAAAATTTTAAAAAAGAGAACTGGGTTTATTCATGCTATAAAATACAATATAAAAATATTTGCTTAAAAGTCATTTTGGCAATAATCCTCTTTATAAACCTAAAATTATAATTAGCTTCATTTTTCCTGCCTTGTACTATCAGATCTTTGATAAAACTAAGCTGTTTTTGGGACTTTAGGCAAGGTGAAATTATGTCTGCTAATGATATATTTGGCTAATATGATGAATTAGGAATATGCCACTCATACTCTTTTTCAATTTTTTTTTCTATGCTTCTCTCTTAACTATTGTTTAAGTAATTAATACGTAATTTAAAATATTTTGGTATAGATATTAATTTAAATACAGAAATAAAAGATTTGAGATTACAAACCTCAAAATAAAATAAAAATGTGGTCTTAGGATGATTTCTTTATGAATGTGACTACACACTTTAATCAGTCAATTTCTGTTCCACACATATGAAAATGTAGATAACATAGAGAGGGAAGCAGATGGAGCTGGGATCTTATCTGATACCATAAAAACTTTTAAATGGACGTGAAGAAGAAAAGAAGGGTAACATTGATTACACCAAGCAAAATAAGAAGCATAAAGTAAAAATTGGTTTATAATGATAATGAAAATCCATTTAAAGTAATGCAACAATACTCAGAAATAAACGTCATGTGCTATGGTACTCCAAAATTAATGGTTTTAATGTGAAATTTATGAAAATAGAATAGTCATAGCTTTATTAAAATACCTCCATTTGGAAAGTATTAAAATAAGTGCACTTTGGAGTTGGGAAGATGGTACAGCACTAAAAGTGCTTATTCTGTAAGGGTGAGGACCAGAGTGTGTATCTCCAGAAACCCATGTAAATGCTTGGTGGGCATGGTAGCTTGCCTGTAATTCTACCTCTGGAATGCAGTCAGAGCATGCCCAAAGCAAACTGGCTAGCAAGACTAGCTATATTGGAGAGCTCGAGGTTTGATAGAAAGACCCTACCTCAAGGAGTAAGGTATAAAAGCAATTAAGGATTATTCTCTACTTTATACTTAGTGTGATGCATGCGCACATACATGCATGCTCACCCACACCCAAAAATAGGCATATACACATCACACACAAAAAATGGAAAAATAAAAATAAATTCATTTTACCATCAAAACAATATGGTTTTCTCTAAAACGTAGTTTACAAGGAAAGTTTCTTTCACAGCTGTTTTTTCTTTTTCTAAAGAAAAAGCTATGCAAAAAACAAAATACAAAACTACCTGATTTAATGTGACCATACTTTTATACTCAGTATCTACTAAATATGAAACATTTATGTCTTCAAATCAAAGGAAGAAAAAAATGCAATTAGAAAACTCACTTTAACCAATTTAAAATACTACATTATTTATGGTAGCATTATTACTTACTAAAAACTGGCGTTTCACTCAGTCTCTGAGTCAAAGGCTGAAAAGTCTGGCTATTTTCAATGAGGTTCAAAATGGCTTCTTCATTAATAAGTGCTTCTTCTACTTTATGCTTAGTGTGACCTTAAGATGACAAAAAAATGCAAAAGCATTAAAATAATTGCATAAATTCTAGAAGTTATCAGAGAATTTGTGTAATTAAGAATTTTTACAACTTAGGAAATATTACATAAAAATGTAAAGTGTTAGATGAAAAACAGTAGTTTAAATCTACTACACACAAATGTAATAAAATTCTCAAAGAAAAGTTGAACTCCTTCAACTTTTTGAGGAAAAAGTATGGATCTTTCTCAATTATAAAAAAAGCCAAAATTTTAAACAAATTAGAAAAATTGATATATCAATGTTCAAAAAGCAAAACAAAACAAATAAATCTAGTTTTCAATTAAAATGTAACCAAGAAGGGATTGCTTCAAGGAGTAGAAGGGTAGTTTATATCACAAAATAACATTTCCTTTTAATGTAACCTGATATATCAACAGAGTAAAAGAGAAAGATCAATTTCAATAAATTCAGAAAGTTTCTTTGAAATTTAATGTTCATCACAACTTAAAATACAACAAAATACTAAGAAAATAAGAATTAAAGGGGCTGGGAGATGGCTCAGCGGTTAAGAGCACTGATTGCTCTTGCAGAGGACATAGGTTCAATTCCCAACACCCACATGGCAGCTAACCACTGCCTATAACTCCATTTCCAGGAGATCTGACGCCTTCTTCTGACCTCTGTGAGCATTACATGACATGGCTGCACTTATATACGTGCAGGCAATACAATCATACACATAAAATAAAAATAATAAAAAATTTTACAAAAGAATTAAAAAGGATGTTAACCTGATTCATCCACATCTACCCATATCCTGTAACAAATTTCACTCAATAAAATATTACAGTTTTCCATGTGTGGTGGCCCATACCCACAATGCCAGCACTCAGGAGGCAGGGGTACAAAGAATACCTCAAATTCCAGGTCAGCCTAGTCTACAAAAGCAAGTTTTAGGCCAGTCAAAGCTCAAAACAAACAAAATCAAGAGAAGCATTTCATTTAAAATCCCTAATAACATTTTTTATTCAGCATCATCCTTGACATCATGGCAGGACATTAAAATATGAGAGAGGAAAATGGGTATGGGAAAGGAAGTAATTGTTCTTTGTAACTGATGAAAATATACTGAAAATCTAAGAGAAAATACATATAAACTATTAGTATTAATAAAAGTTACTGGACATGGGTTAGTAAAGTCCACAAATATCAGCAAAAAAACAAAGCCCACAACTACAATAAAAATTAACTGAAATATATAAAACAAAAGATATACAACAAAAATTACAAAACTATTGAGGAACATTAAAACAAGAGTAAGAACTATATCATGTTTGTAGGTAAGTTGATAAGAAAAGATTAAAGAACTTCTTAAACCAATTTATAAATTGAAGGAATTATCAATAAAAGCCCAAACAGAGTTCTTCAAAGAAAAATAACAATGCAATCCTAAAATGAATATTAGGGAGCTATTTTAAAGGACTATGGGTAGAACAATTCTCAAGCTGAATAAGGGAACAGCTGTCCTGACAAGATCTTATAAAGGACAATAACCAAAACAGTATGGAATTATCATAGGGGAACATAATAGAGGAGGAGGAATCTAGAAGAACCAAAACCCTGTTCAATAAACATGTTGGCACAACTACTTACACACTCATACATATGATAATTAGAGCCTTTTTATTTATATAGGTAAAATTTCAGGTGAATTAAAGACCTCAATAGGAAAATTTAAATTGTAAGCACACTTAAAAGCCTTAGGATAAATAGTTAAGAGAAAACTTGTATTACATCAGGAAGGATTTGCAAACCAAGCATAAAAATGAAATCATAAAAAAATACATAGAAAAGCCGGGTGTTGTGGCACACACCTTTAATTCCAACATGAGGGAGGCAGAGGCAGGTGGATCTCTGAGTTTGAGGCCAGCTTGGTCTCCATTAGAGAATCCAGGCCAGCTGCGCGGCTACAGGGAAACCTTGTCTCAAAAAAAGACCAAAAAAAAAAAAAAAAAAACCCACCAAAAAACAAAACAACAACAACAACAACAAACCAGAAAAATCTGACATTAAAATTAAAGACATGGGGGCTGGAGAGATTTCTCAGCAGTTAAGAGCACTAGCCGCTCTTACAGAGAACCCTAGTTTGGCTCCCACATAGCAGCTAACAATTGTCTATCAGTAACTCCAGTTCCAGGGGAATCCAACACCCACTTCTGACCTCTGCAGGAAACAGGTACACTTACATACATACACTCATACACATAAAATAAAAATAATTTTTTTTAAAAATTAAAGACATGCAAAACACTAAAATTAAGAATTAAAAACCACATGGAAAAAAGATACTAAAATTTCTTGGCTATGTCTATAGAATAAACCTTGATAGAAAGAAAATATATCTAAAATAAGTAAGTGAAAAAGGGCTTACTATCTACAAAATATGAGGAACTCCTACAGAACAGTGGGGGGGAAAAAAAAAAAAAGACCACTGCTAGAGAGATGCCTGTTGCTCTTGCTGTTCCCAGCACCCACATAAGGCAGTTCCCTCGGCCTGTAATTCCAGCTCCTGGGGATCTGATGCCCTCTTCTGGTCTCTGAGGGCACCTACATGAACATATAGACAGAGACAGACAGACAGACAGACAGACAGACAGACAGACAGACACACACACACACACACACACACACACAGAGAAATAAATCTTAAAAAAAAAAAAAGAAAACATTAAAAGTACCAGAGTGGTGGAACTAACCTTGGATATTTAACAGCTATACCAAGAGGCATATACTAATTTGGACGGAGGGACATAAAGGACAGTTTTTGCTCCTTGCCCTCCTAGGTCGACTAAGTTCCAGGGGACTATGAGCATCTCTCAAAATGTCCTGTAACTGTGGTGAGTCACCTGTCCTCTTGATCAAGGAGGCCATGGAGACCCCACCAGATGGACTTGAACCAGTGTCCAGTCTATAAAGAGGAGGGTCAACACAGAGGAATCATTTCCTCCATGCTTCCAAGAGAAGCCAACAATGGTAGAGCAGGACCTTTGACTTATCTTCACATAGATGGAACTGGTAAAAGAATGGAGCCAGGGGCTCTTCCCAAGCCCATGTTACCCCTGAGGAACAGATCCTCAAACGACCTTAAGAGTAAAAATAAATTGGTTTATCTGGGTCTTAAATAGACCAAAGGAAAGTATTACTAAAGATTAATGAGGTCAATATAATTTTTTAAGAGTCCATATGTATAGCTAAAGGCTACATAACAAGAAACAATGCCAGACAGGAGATACCTTCTTTTGAGTTATTGGCCAGGGTGGCCCAAAAGACTCATAGACAGTAACCCAGCATAAAACTAGGAAAATGAACAGCAGACCCCAATCTTATCCAAAGGAATATTAACAACTGATTGCTGCTTGATGAAGTACAGCTGATCTTCCTAAAACAAGGATCTCTAGATAGGCTGACTAGATTCAGCAGATGAACAAGCACGGGGGAATGGCTGGAGGCACAGACAACACAGTGGACAGTAACAAGGATGACAGAGTATATGGGCTCCAGTGGAGGGGCACTATGGGAGATTGTCATTTGGGAAGTGGGTATATAGATGAATAAGATTTTGTGTGATGTTCTTTATGATATACACACACACAAAAAAATCAACAAATTAAAAAGACATATTTGAGGAGGAAGTATAAAAATTACTTCATGTTAATTAGTAGAGGTGATAAACATTACCATTGAAATCTACCTGATGACTTTATAGCCATACACAGTGTGCCAAGGATCTGAGTGCAACCAAGTATGACTAGTAATAATCAGACAAATATAGATTAGAGATGCATGCGTCAACATCTCAGTGTTAGCAGCAAAAA